AGATGTGACTTTGCATAAGGCATCCACACCTTTTCATGCATTTTTCAATCCAGCTCTCCTGTCCGCGGTTTGCTGATCGGTTTCTTCTAGTCGCTCGTCCTCCCGGAATCTACATGCTTGCACTGCCTACCACCGAGACTGTTGACTCGTCCCTCGGCTTCAACGGGGTCTCGAATCAGGCAGCGCTTGTGCCGGTGGCAACCAGTGGTTCTCTGCTTACTCCAACACAACATGGCCATCTCGGCAGCACTGCTAGCGGTCCTGTTGTCACCACAAACGCAATGGTAGCTGGGCCTGTAAGGGTCGACTTTGACCCGATTCAATCCGTTGTGTATTGGACAGACTCTGCTATCCATCGAGTTCCCTTGGAAGGAGGAGGTAATTGGCGATTTGGCTTTATCTTGCTTATTTGAATGTCTCACAAAATTTTTGTCTGATTTTGCTTTATATTAAGTTATGTTGATTCTAAGTTGGCGCATAATCATAGTGTAGGCAATCTTCTCATTTTTACTCATCCTCGGGGTATTCTTTCGGCGTAACCATAGTCCAATCCTTACCACAACTAAATGAGAGCGTATAGGTTAGGTTAGGTGTGCTGAAATTTGGTGACTCATCTCTAGTAGGCCGGGTATAAATAATTGTTGTTTTCCAGCTACAATGTGTCTTGTTGCTGGGTCGATTTTACTTAACACAAAATTTGCGCTAATTTCACAAATGTTCATAACCTTGTCTTCCTTATCCTCCTATCTTAACAACTTTTCCGTGTCCGGTCTTTTAACTCTTACTTGTTCTTGCAAGAATTTTACTTTTAGTAAACTTCTTGCCTATCGTTGCTTAAAAGCCAACCAACCCAAGATCATATTTACGCAATATTTTGACCAGTAAATTGCATGCTGACTTGAATTCAAATAGACTCTGCTCCAACGCATTCATGATTACATCATACTTTCTCTTCAAACAAACGCTCAAATATTCGCAGATGTAGAGACAGTCGTTCAGGCCACATCATCCGACGGTACCACGCCTCATTTACCCCAGATACCCAATGGCTTGGCCGTCGATTGGCTGGCGGGCCAGCTTTATTGGTGTAGTGCAGATGGCCGCCAATTGTGGACCTCCAAATTGGATGGATCATCGGCTCGGCTTCTACGTTGGTTAGATCCTTCATTTATTCCAGTTTCGCTGACCGGGTGGTTTGGTCGCATACCAGA